AAGCCCAACTGGTTCATTATGACCCTGGTGGTTTAGAAAGAGATAGAATTGAAGATTCAATGAGGCAGATCCTCAAGAGTCTTACATCACATACCAAAGACTTTAGACTTCATCCAGGCATGAGGGGGAGCACTGAAAATTGTGATAACATTTGCGCTAGGAAATGTTCAATCAGGTGGCAGTATCAAGGATTGGATCGCAGGGTGAACTAGAGACAGGGAAACTATTGCTAGACATGATATGAGTCTGAACTATGGCAGCCAGAGACTTTGAACCTTTGCAGATGTTTTTGTCTCCACAGTTAAGTGTGCTACACACACCATCTCACTGAACGCTTGCAAGAACCTGAGACATAAGAACTATTATTATACCCAACTGATAGATGAAGAAACTGAGGATCAAAGAGGTTAAGTAATTGCCTCAGTTAGTATAGTATAGTTAGTATAGATCCCAAATGATGGTGATGGTGGTTACATGCCGTGGAGTCGATTATGACTCGTAGCGACCCTGTTATAGGGTTTCCAAGGCTGTAAATCTTTACAGGAGCAGAAAGCCTCATTTTTCTCCTGCAGAACCACTGGTAGTTTCAAACTGATGACCGTGAGATTAGCAGCCTGACTCATAACCACTATACTACCAGAGCTCCTTATTTCAACATATAATTAATGCAAAATCTTATTGAGATATTTTGCATTCTTTTTTCTGAACTAGGTCTTTGAGATCCGGTATGTACTTTGCACTTATGTTGTTGTTGTTGTCAGGTGCCATCGAGTCGGAACCGACTCATAGCGACCCCATGCACAGCAGAACGAAACAATATCCGATCCTGGGCCAACCTCACTACCGCTGTCACACTCGAGTCCATCAATGATGCCACCTGGCCAATCCATCTCGTTAGGGGTCATCTCAACTTGGACTAGTCAATTGTCAAGTGTTTGATAGCTACTGTGGTTAGTGGGTACCATATTGGATCTAGAATGACTCAGATTTCTGCGGTGGGTGATCTGGGAGGTAGGACTAACATTTCCTGAGGTAAGGGAATATAGGAAGAGAAGATAATTTGGGAGGAGTTTGAAATACTTATGAGACATCTTAGGTAGAGCATGTCAGTCAAGGGTTGGATATGTAGGCGTGGATCTCAGCACAAATGTCTGAGTAGAGATATAAGCTTGGGAGTGATTGTTCTGTAGATGTTAAAATTCTTGGTGAGAAGGAATTCACCAGAGAGATGAATTTAAATACAGCTGGAAAGGAAGGGATACCTTGCACAGGTGGAGGGGCTCCTTTGTAGCAGCAGGTGAAGCATCACTCCACTGTATGGAAATGGAGGAGGACAAGGTGAGTGTGGATTTGGAAATGAACTTGTGCAGATAAAGGGCGTGATGGTGGTGGTGGTGTGCCCTGGAGTTGGTTCCGACTCATAGTGACCCTGTGCAGGGTTTCTGAAGCTGTAAATCTTTATGGGAGCAGAAAGCCTCATCTTTCTCCCGTGGAACAGCTGGTAGTTTCAAACTGCTGACCTTGAGGTTAGCAGCCTGACTCATAACCACTATGTTACCAGAGTTCCTTAAAAGGGGTAGGGAGAAGCAAGAAGTACAAGTATGTGGTTTCCTAGCTTGATATTGGCAGGGGCTCTCTTAGCTTATTCTATTTTTGCTTTTCTTTTCCATAGAAAAGAGAGCCCTAACTCTTATCCTTGATTACTCATAAAATCTATGTGGAAAAGATAAGGAAAAAGCAAGCAAAATATAAAATGTGTTCAAGCAGACACTAAAATGAAGATAAGTATTCATTTCTTCTAATTGCTATGCCATTTGCTTTCCTTCCACGTTTTATTTTGAAATCATTATAGACTCACAGAAAGTTGCAAAACCAGTACAGAGCAGTCCCCTATGCTTCTCACCCCATGCCTCCCTTGACCCACGCAAGTAAATTTTATATCACTACAGTACAACATCAAAGCAAACTGACATTCCATAATACTAGAATCTGGATTTCTATCTTCTCTTTGAGTACCTCCCTGAGTTAAAAGAAACTAAACAATATAAGATGTAATGGCCAGCCATGTCAAGTGCTTGCTGTGTGTTCAGGAGGTCTCAGTCCTATATAACTAAATGACCAGAATTTAGTACAACACCAAATGCCACCTAAATACTTAGGTCCCAAATACTTTCTTACAGTCATTTGTAATTTGTACCAAGTTTGTGCGGTTAGACCAGACCCTTCACTGTCTTTTCTCATTTTGGGGATCATTTTCCTATTTTGGGGATCAGTAAAGATGAACAGAGTGTTCTGTTGTTCCCATCAGTGTCTTTAACAAGGAACGTGTGACACGCTCAGAAGGGAAAAGCAATGAGCCTCAAATTTGTTCTCTTATACAACACAGGACTCTTTGGTTTAGGCCTCAATCTCCATGATACCGTGCTATCTCTTGGCAGTTGGTGATTTTATGCCCCTAACTACACAGTAGAAAAACCAAAGGATTAGGAGGGAGTCAGCGCTTAGATGGGTAACTTCATGCAACTTTCAAATGGGGAAAACTTCAGAGGCACCTATGACACTCAACATTGTAGACTCCTCAGTAATTTATGGTGGTTAGCTGCCACTGAGTTGGTTCTGACTCATGGTGAACCCATGCATGATAGAACAAAACATTGCCCCGTCTTTGCCATCTTCATGATTGTTGGAATGTTTGAGTTTATTGCTGCTGCTACTGAGTCAATCCATCTCATTGAGGGGTTCCCTCATTTTCACAGAACCTCTACTTTACCAAACATGATTCTAGTGGTTGATCTTGCCTGATGATGTTGTCCTGAGTAAGTGAACCAGAATGCTAGAGGTTTGATTGAACCAACTCACAAAACAAATAGACCCAAAGGAGATGGGCACACTCCTCCAAAGCATCACCAAGCAAAGAAAGAACCAAGAAATCACTTTGCTTCAAGGAAACAAAAATCAGCAAAAGAGAAAATTAAGCCAACTAGAAAGGAACAGTTACTGTCCATCTGCCAACACTGGGCCGAAGTGAATTACTGACTTATTAATACACAGAGAGAGAATTCCCCTGTATTTTCACTGCAAGTGGTAATTTGCTAATGGGTAATTGTGGAATGACTTTATTTTTTCCTTGGAGATAAATGAGCTCTTGTTCTCAAAGACCAATATACCAGGTAAGAAGTGGAAGATTAAAAAAAAGATGTTTTATCCATCAAGATCTGAAAAACAACGGCAATACATATTTCTGGGAGCTGGCTGAAAGGCGTTTGGGCCTTGACAGTTTCTGAACAGCCAACAGAAGAAAAATGGACCAGGAATTGGCTGGATGTGGGTGGTCAGAGGCCTTTAGACAGAGTGCTCCCTAGAAATACCGTTTCTCATATGCAGATTCCTGACATCTTCAAGTATCACACCGATGCTACCAGGAATAAAATCATTTTTGCCAAACTCAAGAAGACAGTCCAATTGTGAAGAAAAACCATAGGCTGGAAGGACATCTTCTTACCTTGGTGGTGCAATGATTATATGCCCAGCTGATAACTGAAACGTTGGCGGTTCAAGTCCACCCAGCGTCTTCGTATGAGAAAGACCTGGCGAGTCATAAAGATTCTCGCCCATCCAGAAAGCCTTATGAAGCAGTTCACCTGGGGTCACTATGAATTGGAGTCCAGTTGAAGCCATCCAATAGCAGTCTTGTAGTTGTTGGGAAGGATCTAGAGTCCCATAGTACTGACACAGGCAGCGAATACATGCCGGTAACAAGTAACCTGATAGCTCTGACTTACCGTGTCACCCCATATACATCAGAATAGAGCTATGTTCCATAGTGTTCTCAATGGCTGATTTTGGGGAAGCAGATCTCCACACCTTTCTTCCATGGTACCTCTGGGTGGACCTGGACCTGTAATTTTCTATTAGCAGCTGAGTGTGTTAACCCTTTGCACCACCTAGGGACTCCACACGTAACAAGGGCTGAGGAAAACAGCTGAAATCAATTGGGCTCTATAAATGGCCCTTATCAAATATTCAAGGGTGAGGGGGGAAAAGTCATGCGTTCAAGGGCCTGGCCTTGCATTGACCAGAGTTGAAATTTCACTGTGAGATCACTTTTGTCACCGATCTGGTTTTCTAGAATTGGTTTTTCCAGAAGGGGCCCTGTCTCCCCTAATTTGTAATTTTATAGAGCCCAATTGATTTCAGCTGTTTTCCTCAGCCCTTGTTACGTGTGGAGTCCCTAGGTAGTGCAAAGGGTTAACACACTCAGCTGCTAATAGAAAATTACACATAACAATGTGATTCAGCCAGACGTATTTGACCCTAGACACTTGTTTGGGGATGAAGACATACAGTCTACATTTTAAAATCTGTGCTGATGCTTCAACAGACTTTACTCTTGAGTCAGACAACAAGAACACCACCAGATGTGACTTAAACATGTCTCCTTTTTTAGCTGTTTAAATGTGAGAAATTCTTCCCCGATCTATTCCATGGCAGAGGACTATTTTTATCAGCTCTCTCAACCCCACATCTAAGACACACCACAGATCACCCTGCAGAAGTTGGACAAGCCAACCGTGAAATCCACTGAACCAGACAGACTCGGACACCGCATTGGACGGGGTCCTGCCACCATCACTTTCAACTGCCGATAAGCTAAGTGGGAGCAGTGTGGCCAACAGGGCAGAATTAAAATGTGATCAATACAGCATCTATTTTCTGGTCTCTATTTGGCTTTCACAGAAGTGAACACAGAAACAACAAAAAAGAAAGATGTGACGGTGACAAATTAGGGGAGACAGGGCCCCTTCTGGAAAAACCAATTCTAGTCCTGAATTCTTAACCATGCATTTCCATCTCAGAAAACCAGTGACCTCTTTGCTGAGCACCGGGTGACACTTCGGGTTTGATCCAGGTGAAGACAGGCGAGGGGTAGCAGCTTTTGCCTCAATCTTCCTGCCACCTCCCTTCCCCCTTCCAATAAGGAGAAATACATTTATACTCACTTGATTATGTCAGCCAGACAATGCTCCCTAATTGGCAGTGATCAGAGATCCAGAATTGCTTGGGTAAACCTGCTGTCTCTCTATCAGACAAAGCAACACGGGGCCGCTAATGCAGTCCCCATTAACAATTTCCAGTGGAATCAAAAAACCAATCCCCCCGACTCATGCCTGGCAATGAATTTTCCAAACAGCGTCTGAGAGCCAGCCCTGGAGGAACTCAGACTTAACGTGAACCTGCCCAGCATAGAAGCCTTTATAAATGCTCCCACCCCCAGCTCAAAGGCACAGAAAAAAACACACCAAAAAACAAAAATTAAGAAAACAAAACTCCCCCAAAACCCATAGCCACTTCCTTCTGCTCGAGGTTTTTTTGCATTTCTTTCTTTCTTTCTTTCCCTTCCCCCTTCCCTTTATAAGCTTATAGAGCTGTCATTTTTGATTCTGGGCTCTTTGTAAATTTCAGGGACATCTGGCGCACAGTTTACTGCCTTTGCGGGCTCTGGTATTTGTAGATATGCACTCTGTCTCTGTTGCGTGCGCATGTTCACACTCTACATGCATAATTTATATGTGCATAATTTGGAGCTGGAGTGTAAAGGTATATTTTGACATTTTAACGTAACTTCGACAATGGCTGATCACAAGTAAGCACTCAATAAATATTTATTGAATGAAAGACTGTACCAAGAAGACGAACAGGCTAATATCATTCCTTCATTCATTTATGAGAAATTTGAGTGCCTGAATATGAGTCCCGATGTGGCATTGTAGGATAAGTACTGGGCTGTTAACCACAAGGTCAGCAGTTCAAACCCACTAGCTTGAAAACCCTGAACATGGAACTTAACAGCAACACCAAATATGTTTCAGGCACAGTGCTGAGTTCTAGATACTCGGCGAGGCTTGTCCAACAGTCCCTGACTTCCGCGTTGAGGGCAGGAGCAGGGGACAGACATATAAATAGACAGAAAGTATCCTGGATATATAGTGAAGGTGGGCACTATGTGCAGGGTAACGTGGGCACGCCAAGGAGAGTTTTTAGTGTCTTGTGGATTGAATTGTTACTGTTAAGTCCTGTTGAGTCGGTTCCGACTCATAGCTACCCTGTATAGGATTTCTGAGGAGCAGCTGGTGAGTTTGAACCCACAACCTTGTGGTTCAGTGCTTATCCTACAGCATCACACCAGGACTGCGGATTAAATTGTGTCCCTTCCAAAATACGTGTTAGAATCCTAGCCCAAAGAACATGGATGCCATTCCATTTGTTATGTTCAGGAGGCCATATCAGTGTAGTTGTTGTTAAGTACTGTTGAGTCGGTTCAAACTCATAGAAACCCTGAATAGGGTTTCCAAGGAGCAACGGGTGGGTTTGAACCGCCGGCCTTGTGGTTCACAGTCCGTGCTGATCCTACAGCACTACATCCTGATGTAGTTCATATCAGTGCAGGGTGCGTCTTAAGTCTAATTACTTTTGAGACAGAGAAAAGGTAGCACCAGATGCTAGGGAAGCTGAGACAAGGATTGGACAGACAGAGCCTTCTCCTAGAACTGGCACACTAGATTTCAAGTTCTAAACAGTAAGAGAAGAAATGTCTGTTCCTTATAGCCACCCACTTGTGGTGACAGAAAGCTGTCACAGCAGTACTAGAGACCTATGACAGACACCTAGGTAGGGTCTCTGGAGGTGGCAGTAAAGGGTTCAGCCTAAGAATTCAGCACAAATGATGTCAGGACGGAGAATACAGAAGGACGGAGCAGGAGAACGTGGACGCAGCAGGCTAGGGGCTGGCAGGGATGAGCTGAGAGGCTCTGGCATGACTGGATGGGAATAGAGGAGGAAAGGTTGGGTCAAGGGGAGGAGCGTTAACTACCTCAAGTAGGGCAAGGAAACCTGTAATTTAAGGTGCTAGAACTCGAACAGCTCCTTCACTTGTCCAAAATTCTCCTGGATCCCAGCAGAGTTTTTCTACACACAGCTCACAGCAGAATTTGGCCTACGTTTGGTTGCACCTGGGTGTAATCAGGAGCTCTGAAGTCATGGCCTGGACCATCAAGCTATGTGAATTTGAGCAGGCGCCTGCTTCTTCGTCTGTCAAGTTGGGTGCATGTTAAGTTACCACTGCGATTCCACTCAGTTCTCAGACTCTATTTTGCCTGGGTCCTCTGGGGTTTGTGTACAGACTACACCTAGGCCTTGCCAGAACATGCACCGTGGGACATTCCCCAAGCAGCACACATGGTGACAATGGCACTGCCATGGAATGTGGGGACAGCCAGACACACAGAGACACAAATTAACACGTATCCCCAGGAATGGGGCAAAAGAGGGGCAAACCCCAGTACCAGTGCACTAGGTCAGGCTCACGTCTGCAAATTTGACTGCAAGTCTGCAAGAATCTCGATGAAATTCATAGCACTTGCCTCTCCTTACTTGATTCCCCACCCCCACCCCCAAAGCATTGTTCAGCTCAGAACGTACAATAATTCCACTTTACCTATAGAATCACGATCTTGCTTCTTGTGGTGGCATTCAAGGCTGTCTCCCATCTTTCCCCAACCCTACCTGCTGTGACTCCCACCTTGGCCAGGGTCACCAGCAACAGTGTCCATGAATGTTCCCACCCCTTCTGTCTTTTCTCACTCCAGACCCCACACTAAAGGTCCACCTCCAGTTCAAGTTCATCTCCTCCAGGAATGCTGTATGTACTCCTGTCCTCTTCTGAACTCTGTAGAACTTACTGTATTGTTCAGTTGGTTGTTGTTGTTAAGTGCCGTCCAGTCATTTCTGACTCATAGTGACCCTATACAGTTATTCTGTACCATGTGTGTTGGAATAGAACTATACTCCACAGGTTTCTCAATGGATGATCTTGTAGAAGGACATTAGATCTTTCTTCTGAGGTTTCTCTGGGTGAACTCGAACCTTCAGGCTTTGGGTTAGCAGCTGAACTTGTTAACTGTTGACACCACCCCGGGACTGACTCCTGTATTGTTCTTTGTTGTTGTTGTTGCTGTTAAGTGCCGTGGAGCCGGTTCCGACTCATAGTGACCCTGAACAGGGTTTCCGAGGCTGTAAATCTTTACGGGAGCAGAAAGCCTCATCTTTCTCCCACGGAGCAGCTGGTAGTTTCAAACTGCTGACCTTACGGTTCGCAGCCCAATTCGTAACCACTATGCTACCAGAGCTCCTTATGTTGCTCTTTAGTGACTGTTAATTTCACCCTGTGGTTTCTGTTTTACCTTGACATCTAACAGATAAGTCAAACTCAGAACCAAAGCTCATCTCTCTTTGTAGTCTGTGGACTTCACACAGTGACTGTCTAGCTCAGTGATCCAATGCTACTATAACAGAAATACCACAAGCGGATGGCCTTAACAAACTGAAATTGATTTTCTCACAGTTTAAGAGGCTATGTATCTGAATTCAGGGAACCAGCTTTAAAAGAAGGCTTTCTCTCTCTGTCAGCTCTGGTGGAAGGTCTTTGTCTCTTCAGTTTCTGTTTCCTGGTTCTTTGGGGGTCTCCATGTGGCTTGGCATCAATCTTCCTTCATCTCTACTTGCTTGCTTGTCCCAATCTACTCTTTTTACATTTTCTAAGAGATTGTCTCAAAACATACTCTCCACTAATCCTGTCTCATTAACAGAACAAAGTCTACCTATTCCCAAATGGGATTATAACCACAGGCATGTTGTTGTTATTAAATGCCCGGTCCAGTTGGCTCCGATTCATAGTGACCCTGTGCATAACAGAACGAAACACTGCCTGATCCTGTGCCAACCTCACAATCGTTGCTACTCCTGAGCCCATTACTGCTACCACTGTGCCAATCCATCTCATTGAGGGTCTTCCTCTTTTTTGCTGACCCTCCACTTTACCAACGATGAAGTACTTCTGCAGAGACTTGTCCCTCCTGATAATATGTCAAAAGTATGAGAGTCAAAGTCTGGCCATCTGATTTCTAAGGAGCATTCTTCCAATATAGATGTATTTGTTCTTTTGGCAGTCCATAGTACTTTTAATATTCTCCAACACAAGTATAGAGGTTAGGATTCACAAAACATATTTTTTGGGGGACACCATTCAATATGTAACACTGCTCATGGACATTACCTGCTGATGGTATGTTTGGTATGGTAGAGCCTCTATGAAGATTTTTGAGTCCTGGTATGGCACTGTGGGAGAATGCACTGAACAGCAAGGTAGGTTTGAGCTGCAAGGTAGGCAGTTCAAACTCACCAGCCGCTCCTCGGAAACCCTATTCAGGGTCACTATAAATCAGGACCAACTTGATGGCATTTAACAACATTATTGCTATCATAATGCTGCAACCTGAAAAAATTTTTTCTCTCTTCTTGGACAAAAAGAAACCATTAGGAGAGTGCCTTGGCGCAGTCATACTGGAGTAATGAGAGTGTGAAACATTTCTCCCACGATTCATAAACAATATTCTACATGTGTTTCTCTGGAGCTTAAAGTTCACCCAGGAATTAGCTATTTCACAGACCAAAAGGAGCATATGTGCAATCCACCAGAAGGAAGAAACATTCCGCTACATTTAAAAGGGAAAGCTTTGGACTCTCCAATTTGAAAGTAGAAATGGTTTTAGCGTCACATGGCTGGGAGGAATGGCAAGCCACTTACCTAGTTTCTGGCCCCCAACATTCAGCTTTTATTGTATATATTCCAGGGAGCAGCACATGTGATTTTTCACAAAAGAGGAACTGGTGTTAAATCTATAAGGAAAACCACATTTCCTTACTGATCGAATACGTTTAAGGGAGCCTGAGCTCTGTCAATATGCACAACTGTTCTGAATTTGTAACTGGGCAGTTAAAACCACCATCTAAACTGGCAGCTGTGATTTTCCCAAAAGCAGAGCTGCAGGGAGAAAAAGAGCTTTTAAAACTTCAGTTCCATTTGTATAAATTGGAGATTTGTTAGTGAAAAAACTGCTTTAAGCTCAGCTTCTGTCTCTCTCTCTTTTTTTTTTCAAAAACCCTTATTTTCTTTCCTTATTAGTAAGCAATGACTTCTTTTGACTCATATGAAAATTCATGCATTTATTCAACACGTATTTACTGGGCATCTATTATGAACCAAGGAGTCCTTGTGTGGTGCTTGTGGGTTAATGCGCCAGACTGCAAAACCATTTGAGCTGCAAGGTGGGCAGTTCAAGCTCACCAGCTGCTCCTCGAAAACCCTATACAGGGTCGCTATGGGTCGGAACTGACTTGACAGCACGTCACA